AACAACAACAACAACAACAACGATAACAATGATAATGATAATAATAAATAATGAATAAAATAAAAAATAAAATAAATCACAAGAGGAATAATCAGAAGAAGAGGCTGTTTTCCCACCCCCGAGGGAGGAAGGGAAGGGGACCCTCCCGAGGTCACCCAGTCGTGCCCCATGCCACGTACCCCATGCACGTGGTAGCCCTCGGAGCCCCCGTCGGGCACCTCGGAGCTCGAGCCCAGCCCCATGGCCGCCTCACGGGCTCCGGGCGGCCTCCGTCGGCGGCACAACCGCCGTCCTCGCCGTCCTCTTCCCCACCGGCGCCGCCCCGGCCATCCCTCCCCGCCGCCGGGTTCCAACACGGCAAGAAGCCGACGGCGCATGCGCCGCTTGCGCAGGGAAAGGGGAGGAGGAATCCCCGGAAGGAGAGTCGGGGGGGCGCTCTAGGCTTGGACATCTCGCTTTCCCGCCTCGCCACGTGACATGCCAGGCAGGCGAGAGCGCCTGCCAGGTGAAATGAATCTTTAGTTCATGGACCACATGCAGTCTACCAACTGAGATAAGGCAAAGAGGTTGTCTCTGATATTCTGTCAGCACCGAGCTAGGTGAAAGGATCTACTTTCAGTCTACATACCAGCAATAAGTCTCTTCCCGTGCTTTGGCACTGAGAGAGGTGGAATGACTTCTCTCTGAACTGCTGTACACAGTCTTCCCATCAACTGATCTACAATTATCATTTGAGAAGGTAGGATGATGGTGATGATGATGATACTGCTGCTAGCACGATTGGTTGTTCCTCCGGGCACGCGCCTCGACAGGTTGGAGGAAGACGGAGTGGGCGGTTGGGCGGTTTCAAGCGCCCACCCGTCGTCTTTTTCGCCCTCCTGTCAGCTACCATGGCTAGCTTAGACCCGCAGGCCTTGGTACGCCTGTCCCTCTGGGGTCACTTGTCTGGGGATGATTTTATTAAATATTGTACAATTATTTATTTATTTATTAAATAAATAAATAAATGAATAACCGATTTATTAAATAATAAATTAATTAATAAATAAATTTAATGAATAATACTTCATGAATCCTATTAAATAAAAGTATTAAGAGAAAAATCCCATATATGTGAATATATAAAATTATGAAGTTATAGAAAGTAGCCACTAGAGGGAAAAAGAGACCATAGCTACCCTGTTTTCCCCAAAACAAGACCTAACCTGAAAATAAGCCCTAGTAGGATTTTTCAGGATGCTTGTCATAGAAGCTCTACCTCAAAAATAAGCCCCAGTTAAGAGAACCCCTGCCGTCCACCATTGTGCAGCAGCCAAAAGATGACAGGACTGTATTTGAATAAATGTTGAGTCTTGTCCATGACAAAAAAAAATCCCCTCATAATAAGTCCTAATGCACTTTTTGGAGCAAAAATTAATACAAAACCCTGTCTTGTTTTTTTTTAAAATAGTATTATAATAGCGTTCTCTGTTATCCACAGTTTTTCAGCATCCACCGGGCAGGGGGGAGCTTGGTACCAATGTCCCACGACTATGGCGGACAGGGGTCCTACTCTAATCACAATGGGCTTTCTAAGTAAACTGCTAGCTTGTGCTGGATGGGTGTTTTTTTTAATTGACTTGCACTCTCAAGTAGAGATGGGCACGAATGCAAAAACAAATCACATTCATAAAAAAAATTGCGTTGTTGAAAATCTTAATTTGTTTTCCTATGAATCAATGCCCTCAAAGAATACGAATCAATGAATTTTTAGTGATTTTTGATTCGTCAATTTGTTTGGCTATAAAATGGCTTCCCAGGAATCTAGAGATACCAAAATTACAGAGAAGCTGCGTATGACTCTCATTCCAGGTTTGGTAAAGGCTGGGTTTCATACATCTGAGTTATACACCCACAAATAGTCCCCCCCCCCAGAAAGCTCCCCCCAGGCATCCAGGGACACCAAAATTACAGAGAAGCTTCCCCTGATTCTCCCCTGCAATCCCTCCAGGTTTGGTGAAGACTGGACTTCCTCAAGCCAGCTGCTAAAGGGTACTTTCTGGGGGGGGGCACTTTGTGGATGTACAACCTGGATATCTGAAACCCAAACTTCACCAAACTTGGAGGGATTGTAGCGGAGAGTCGTGGGAAGCTTCTCTGCGAATCTGGTGTGCTGGGAGGGGAGATATAGGACTTTAAAATAAAAAACCAACTTTAGTCAAAACAAATCAATTCATCAGGAAAAAAATCATAATTCGTGATTTGTCGACCTTGACAAATCACGAAACAAAACTAATCATCATTTTCCTGATTTGTGCCCACCTCTAGTCTCAAGCAGACGGGTGGAAGCCAGAAAATGCTGACCTGCTGCTCTAATACCGTTAACTTCTGCTGGATTTAGAGAAGCCATGCATTTCTTTTTCTGTACCACAGATGTGTGCAGTCACAGCTGTCAGCTTAATTGTATTGGGATCTGGGTCAGCCCTCAAAGAGATGCTGGGTGTTTCTTCTCATTCTGAGCTTTCATCCATTCATGAGATCTTTCAGATGGTCTTCTAAGTAACATTATTTTGTGTATTATATTTTGTAAACATGTTTGTACCTGGTCTTCCTACCTCTTGTCTTTTTCTCTTCCTTCAGGCTAGAATTCTGTACTATGCTCAGGAAAAATACTTCAACCACGTGGTTCATGTAACAAATACAGAACTGTCAAAACATCCTCATGATGCTGTGTTGCTGTTTTTCAAGGGTATTGGAACTGTATTACTCGGTAAATAATACAAAGAAAAGTCTTTCCCCTATTCTTGCTTGGGTCAGAAAAGTGGAATGCATCCTGCATTTCTACCACCTCTTTCTCCTATTTAGAAAAACAAGAATCAAAGAATCTAAAATTTGGATTGAGAATAAGATGAAATACAATGGAGTTGCTAGGAACAGAAAGTAAATGAGGAATAAGTGGCTTGTTCTTTGTACAGTGCAGAAACACTGAATTATCTTATTATTTATATATATAGTCAACCCCTGGTACACGGATCCAAATAAACTTTCACAGAACATAAGATCTATGGAAAAATAATAAGTGTATTGGAAGTGCTTCATCCTAAAAACAGCATGAAAGCCAAAATGAGTACATTGCATTTATTTGTTCGACAAAATCCTATTGGATTTGTGGAATATAAATCCAAAATCGTGCAACTGGTGTGTGCAGGCAGTCACACCTGGGTTTTTGACAAATGGCCAGCAAATCGTGAAGAAACCCATGTCCCTTATGTATGTAATATTCTGCAATAGGATTATTATGGCTGTTGTTGAATGTATGAAAGTTGCATAATTAGGAAACATCAGACATGGAATTTTTTTAAAAAATCTGAATATTCCAAGTAAAGTAGAAAGCAATATTCCAAATACCATAGAAAGCTGTGATCCTATCATTAAGCTAATCTCATGCTATTTTGCAGGAGCTAAAATTAAAAATAGGGACGTGGTGGCACTGCAGGTTAAACCGCAGAAGCCTCTGTGCTGCAAGGTCAGAAGACCAGCAGTCGTAAGATTGAATCCAGGTGACAGAGTGAGCGCCCGTCATTTGTCCCAGCTCCTGCCAATCTAGCAGTTTGAAAGTGTGTAAAAATGCGAGTTGATAAATAGGTACCACCTTGGTGGGAAGGTCATGGTGTTCCGTGTTTAGTCGTGCTGGCCACATGACCATAGAAACTGTCTACGGACAAACGCTGGCTCTACGGTTTGGAGACGGGGATGAACACCGCCCCCTAGAGTCAGACACGACTGGACTAAATGTCAAGGGGAATCTTTACCTAAAACTGAAAAATACCATCATGCTTACACATATCAAGGGGAATCTTTACCTTTACCTAAAACTGAAAAATACCATCGTGCTTACACATATTCTCAGTGGAATGTTTTCACAGCACTCTGACTTGAAGCAATAAAAATCTGAGCCCAGTAGGACTATAATTCTTTATACAAGAGGAAGTGCATTGAACTCATTGGCTTGCCTTGAATAGCTAAGGATGGGATTGGGTGGCACACTATTAAAACCTTTCTCCTCCAAAGGACATGCAGGTTGTTTTGCTTCTCTGCAGGACGAAACCAAGAAGGTATCTCACTTCTTGAAAATGCCCGGAAGCGCCATATAGATGTTTCCTTATGTTGCCTCCTTGGTCTCATATATGCACACAAGAGATGTGAAAATGTTGGTAAGTTCTGGGCCATTTGGTCTATCATCACAAATTGCCTAAAGTAGAGACGGGCTGTGTTCCCAAGAACATAATTAAAATCAATTAAGCGAAAAACATGGCTGGAGGAAGTGTGAATATTTTTAAAAAAATTTTAAAAATGGGTGTGTTTATTCTCTCTGAATGCTAAAAATATGCTGAGCGTACCCATCGGCTGTGAAAGAGCCAGCAACGTTTACTTGAATGACAATTGTCTGAGATGTCAGTGGAGCCATCAAGAAGGGGTTAATGCCTCTCTCTCAAGAAGGCAGAGGCCAAGAATAACTCTACTTTTGTCTTGAAGGAAAAAAGAAACCCTTCATTCTTGGCACGGCCTTTGGGAGAAGAACACAGTTAACCTGGGCAGCTTCTGGAAATTACACAATAAATAAAGAGCTCCCAGTCTTTTCTTTTTGGACTGCTGGCGATACGTGAAATTAAAGCAAATGGGAAACAAGAGCTACTCCTACTACCATCTGTCTTGTTTATTTTCAGATGCGTCTGCTATTTTGGACTTGGAAACCAAATTAAAAGAAGCGCGGAAGACTGCTGGAAGCAACGCGTGGTATTATGGTGGCATGTTGCTGTGGCTGTTGAATAAACATGAGAAAGCCAAGGACTACGTCGACAAAATGCTGAAAATATCTAATTGTTCAAGAGAGGTAGAGTGGAGCACATCAGGCCTTTTGGGACATCCCAGTGTCAACATGTATTTAAAACATCCCAGTCCCTTTTCCTTTTCCTTTTAACCTTCCTTGTAGACGGGAAATTGGCAGGGAGGACTTGGGTCCCTCGGCCCTGTGGAGAGATGATCGCTGTGGAAAGGAAGGCTTCCGCATGTGTCTTGTACCTTTGGATCTGGGCCAAAGCGCGCGAAACGTAGCTGAGAGAAAGGGAGACATCTGAATTCAGTATGCAGGGGGTGTGTGGTGTGCGCGCACTGACCCTGGTATGCGCACGTACTACCAAACAGATGGTAAACACTGTCAGTTCTGACAGCACCAGGACACCTGCTTGGGGAAAAGGACAGCCACTGATTCTAGACGTCTCCTTCACCCCTGCCGCTGTGACAGATGTTCAGAGTTAGGAAAGCTGACAGTGCCTGCCATCTGCTTACGTGGGGAACCCTTTAAGCTCCATATACATAGAAGTAGCCAGCTGGGCCGAGGCAAAATGTACGCTCTGGATAATTTTGCTTCTCCTTCCAATGTAAAATTCTTTCGCATGATTAGGTTTCCTTCCTCAATGTGTACGTAGTTCTTGTTCTTTAAATGACCCTAAACCTGATGATCCCATACCTATTTATGCGACAATGAATTTTGCTGAGTTCGTAACGGTGTTAGTCCCAAGTAAAGGTCCATAAGGTTGAAGTCAGAAGTCAGAGCTGGGGGAGATTGGCCACATGGCAACTAAGTGGAAGTAGAAGAGGAACTTTTCATCTGTGTGTTCCAGCTGATGTTGGAGGCTGCAGGTCCATTCTTGGGATGTGCCTGAGACACTTTGGTCCCAGAGCTCCTGTCAGTGAGACCGGACAGTCCCCACATACTGTAAGTTATAGAAACAGTCCAATCTAATAGAGAAGAAGCTGGAGAACCCCACTTGCCTGCCTCCAGGTTCCCTTCTGTGAAGTCTTCCTTATCAGCGAAAATACTACAGTCCCATTTTGGTACACCTTCAAGCAGTTTATATAGAGTCGGATTTTGCCACGGCATTTCTCTAAGCCACCCATATCTGGCCTCAAGAGCTGCGGAATGTCGTGCTGCCTGGGATCTGGCAGGGCCAAACCAGCCGTGTCCTTCGCGCCTGGGGAGGTAGCGCAGGCAGGAGGCAGGGGAACTCTGAAATGGGACCCTGGCCTTCTGCACATGCTAGAAGGGAAGCAACACGGTGGAGCGAATGATTGCTTCCTTTCCAGTAGAGGATTCAGCTGAGTCCTCCCCCTTCTCGTGGGAGGCTCGAGGGATGAGGGCTTGTGAGCTTCGGGCCTTGTGGCTTATTTAGCAGTGACGGCAAACCTTTTTGATCCCGAGTGCCCAAACTGGGAAACAAACAAACAAACCAACAGGCAGTGATGGAAGTGGCGGCAGAAGGGGGAATCCCAGGCACGGAGGTGCC